TGAGAAGTGAAGAACAAAAGCGTGTACAAACGAAAAAATATAACAACAATGCCATTGTTAATATGTTGGAGTAGTTTTGTGCTACTCTGATGTAATGCAGGGATGGAGTATATGGTCCTGCCCTAGGACATCGCAATGTTAATTGGACCATATTTTTTATATGAATTGTGGTTAATTTTGGAGTACTCCTTGGTCCTTAGGGAGTACTCTTTACACGCATGCATGGAGTAGTCGCGATTTTTGCAGGGACGTACATACAAACATATATAAATATGCATGTTATGTGTGTACACATGTATGAATATACCCAGCGGACCAAATGCTCGCAAATGATAACACATGCGAGTGAATGCGAGATTTAACGCGGAAAAACTCTCGCAAATGAATCGGGAAATGATAGCAATATGATTTATATGTCGTTCAGTTTGTGGCAGTGAAACTTTCATTTACGATAGTTGGAAGGAATATCGTTAGTGAGCATTTGGCGATATAATTTGCAAGGTTGTTTTGATATTTCTAGCGATAAGGATAAAATACTGAATGTGATAGGTTTTCGATTCAAAATAGAATATAAAAAAAATGTTTTTGCCGAGCCGGCATTAATATCAAATAAGTATCGCAAGAGATATCACAAACGGTTCGCAAGAAATAAGGGTTGAAAGACTTTTATTTATTTTATTCCCCATTAACAAATATTTTTTATTATTAGTTAATGCTTCTTATTGTTTATACATGTATATTGTTTAAACTAAAATTCGGACATAGAAGAAATTAAAAACTGAAATTTCAAATACATAACTTAAAAGTATTACGCACTTCTTTGGCAGCTTAAAGGAATCTATTTCATGAGTATAAATAAATTAAATATTACGAAAACAAGACACTCTTTAGCCATTGAACATCTAAAAAATGTACACATGGAGACATTTATAGATGAAACTTCACTCCTTAAAGAAATTAACTCAGCACCTTGACGATCAATTTTGGATAGTAACTTATCAATTTTATCAGTTGTTGTCCTCTGGGTTTCCATAATCTTCGTTATTAGGTTCAATATGTCTGTAACCGTAATAAAAAAACTTGTAAGTAGGGATTAAATAAGAAACTGGGCTCGAATCACGGCTCTCGTGAACGAGTGACCGTTCGAATATGGTATACTTACTTATTAGACCATTTAAATAAACTCCGGAAAGGAGACAGAAAATTATTAATAACAAAAAAATGTATTTAGTTTTTAATAAATATTTTTTAATTATTCAGCTGCCATACACTCGAGTTTGACAAATAAAAGAAAACTAATTTTTTACAATAGTACATGTAGAAAATTATTGCACTCGCATTTCTATCACAATATTCACGCTGCAATGCTCGTGTGCGAGGGTTTTACGATCAAAGAAGTTTCACAATCGTCCTTTGCTCACATGCGAGCTCATTTGCGGATATTTTGCGACACTCTCGCTAAAGGCTCTTGCGCTGGTCCGCTGGGTAACTCTAAAAAATAATTCATTACATAATCTATGCTTATGTATGTAATCAATTTTATTTGTTGTTTTAAATGCTGCCCTAATATAATACTTCACATATATATATGCATATATACATACAATTATTAACATACTTTCGTACATAATCTATTGGCATACATAGTCTATTGACATACATTCCCACATTTTTATGCACAAAAATGCATGTGTTGTATAGTACACTCGGAGCGCTCGCTCGTCGCTCACTCGTCTTTCCTAGCAGAGTGAGTATGCAGACAGCTACTCGCCTCGCACTGCGAGCGAGGCAACACCCAACAGCCTCGCTCATTTAAAAGGAGCGCGAGCAAACAAGCAGCGCTCGCTCGTTTGGCGAGCGAGCCAAACTTCTCGTGCCTCGCCTCATTGCTGCTACGAGTACGAGCTGCGAGCGCCTCGTTCTCTGCGAGGCATTGAGTAGGAGTTTGCTCACTCGCTCGCTCGAACTCCGAGTTTTTGCCCACCCTGCACATACATACATATATCGGCTGTTTAATAATCAAGATAAATAATTTAAAGTTTAATGGCCTTATTCATAAAAAATAAAGTAAGTTTAAAGAGGTTTATAAATTGACGTTTTTATACATTTTTCAATTAATAAACCTTTTATAAGGCTACTTTATTTTTTATGAATAAGGCCATACATTTTTTGGGAAAACGCAATCAAAGTTCGAGTAGCTTATACATATGTATGTACGTATATACGTATTTGGTATACAGAAAAACATTTCCATACATTCCATAGGATAAATACCTTCTCCATTTTCAGTTCAGTTCAGTTATCTGTTACACTGAACATGTTCTCCTTATCAAGCTTATTAATTCCATGACAACATTTCCAAAGACGTGAATTTTTTATCAATTACATAGGTTTACAAAACAAAAACGTTTCTGCATATTGAACCAAACCTCTATGTCCCTATGTAGTTCGACGAGCTGAATGCGAATCCGAGGTCTGCTAGCCTCCATGACGTCAGGTTCGGGCCATTTGAAGGTTAAGTAGGGAAAAATTCATTGAATAAAATTGAAAATTCATGTATATTGGGTTTTCGACTCGCTGAACCCGAATCCGAGTTCCGTTAACCTCCGTAATGTCAGGTTCGAGGTCATTTGAGGGTCAAAAACACAAACAAATGTATTCAGTAAAAATAAAAATTCATATACTATACTTAGGTTTTTGTTGTCGCTGAATCCGAATATGGTCCCTTGATTCTTCAAGGTCATCTAGAGGTCATCTCAGGGTCAAATCGAAAATAATTGTATTGAACATAGTGATATTGAGGTTTGGTTCCATATGCAGAAACTTTTTTTTGTAAACCTGTGTTATCTTTATTTTGAATGTGCGATGCATGCTCAAATTAAGTTTGTATGTATGTACGTAAACATTTTTGTGATTTCAGTGCATAAGTGAAAAATGAGTATCCATAATTTTGTATGTATGTACATATGTACATTATGTATCCATATGTATGTGGATAAGTGTTTGCTATTTTTTTATTTTAAATGAAGTAAACAAATCGCTAAATATTTTATCCTGTTCCGCGACACGGTTCCCAATGAAATNATTTGGTATGTATGTACATATGTACATACATATATGTATGTGGATAAGTGTTTGCTATTTTTTTATTTTAAATGAAGTAAGCAAATCGCTAAATATTTTATCCTGTTCCGCGACACGGTTCCCAATGAAATTTATTTTGTTCCGGAATTGGTAATATATTCGAGAACACATATGTATGAAACATTCAATGTTTGTAATCGACGAATTTAATCAAATGCCATTGACATCCAAATTTTGCGCGCTACACAATCAAAAATTTCCATATAAATTTTTTTTTACTATCTCCTGCACCTTTTTTGTTACCACTTACCTTAACGGAAAGTGTCTATTATAGTTGGTGTTGTTGTCGACGAAGCATGTCCTACATTTATCCACGCTACCCCTCAGCGTCACGTACGCGCATGATTGCATGTTTGAACTGTGGGGTGCTGCAGAGAAAGGGTAGAATTGCAAACACATCACATCGTTTTCGGTATGTAAATCAACTATCATTGTTCTAAAGTAAAAAAAATGAATTTGAATGCATATAAAAAATCAAAATAATAAATTACCAAAACAATGCTAACGAAACGAACAGTGGGCCGTCGAGAGGTACACATTCACATACACATACATACATATACATGAGCATACATACATACATATACATGTATGTACATATGTATAAGGAGGAATATCTGCAACTGTGGGTAATATTACCCTCGACATTAGCATGTCAAAGCCAAAAAAATGCTACACTTCCCAGTTTCGCATAGACGTAGCCACGCATGCGCGCGTTTGCCAAGACAGATGAAAGGGTAAAGCGTAAAGGTTCATGGGAATCCGCTATGAAAAAACGCCACAAACGACCTCTGCACTGAAGCGATGGCACAAAAAAGGTCGAAGACTGCTGCTAGTTAGGCTTAGGACGTCTTCTATTGCAATGCCAACACCCATAAATCCCAATGTTTCCGAAATGGGATAACAGAGCCGAGTAAACATGACACCCAACTGTCAATAGATATTTCGCGGTTATTTTCATTATGCTGGTTGACGCATCCAGCCGCTACTGGCATAGCGGATGAGTGAACGTTTATTTGATTTATGTCAAAATCTAACGAGCTGAATGCTTTCATTCGGCTACTCATCTATTCACAGTCATTCATTATGTCGTCCTTTTTTGTGTATCGCGTTGCGAAACCTCGTAAGTATACATATGCACAGTGGTATGTGTACAAAACGTGAATGTGTGGAGTGGCTGAATATGCACATTCGATGTAAATTCAATTGTTATCTAGCCGAAAAAATCATTGACGATTTTGAAGGCTGAATGCACGGACAGACAACACTTGAGGCTTTCTTATCATTAATCAACGATGGTAGTTCCCTTATCGATAAATGTCAATGATAAAAAATTCAATTTCACACTTTCATTCCAGAAACAAGCAATTTTATTGGCATTTCTGTTTTCTTACACTATTTTCCTATAATTAGTTTGTCAAAGTAAATTTAGTAGTGAGTTACTAGTTAGAATATGATCAATAAAATAATAATATAACAATAGATTGGCGCTGACAAAAAATGCTAGTGTTTGGCCGAGCTTTTCCTCGGATTTGTGGCGTGCGCCTTGGTGTTGTCACACAAAGAGGCCATCCTTACAGTTTTACGCCGACTCCGAACGGCGATTGTATTTTTATAAGAAGCCCGCTACGGCGGCCGGTTTATGTATGTAAATTCAAATACAGCCCACACTCCAATCCCCAAAGTAAAAAGGTCTGTGAATTTTAGAAATAAAGGAACAAGTTGTATTAATAAGACTAAATAAATAATAAAAAAAACTGTTTAATATACAACGCGTTTATAAATAGACTAAAAAGTAAAAAATAATAATTATCAGTCCCATAGAATTTGTTTTGATAACTTTTGATTTTGAAATTTTAGCAAAGTCATTCTAAACAATTTATGAGATTGAAAATGAAAAGCGTGGGGCGCATGCCAAGGCGCGAATGCGCTGACTGTTTGTTTGATGACAGGAGATACTTCGTCTTGTCCTCGTTGAGCGCCAGACCCATTCGCTTTGCTTCCTTATCCAACTTGGAAAAGGCAGAACAGATTTCGCGGTTCGTTTTAATGACCAATTTTTTTTACTTGTCACTCTATAACCCTAGAGTACTCAGTGGCGGATACAGGATTTTATTTTAGTACAATTGCATGTACTATTTAAAAAAAACACAAGATGTATAGTTATACGTTGGGTTTATTAATGCAATATATACATACTAGCTTTTACCCGCGGGTTTCACCCCGCGCTTTTATACAAATATGAAAAATAATTTAATGATGTTAGATTTTATTTCTGTGCCCATTTCGTTATACCTCGTTATTTTTTAAGCGAGTTAAGGTATTTAGGCCGTTTAAAACTATGAAATTATAAAATCTCGTCTGCGCGCTAGGCATACGAAAGATATCAATCTCTCTAAGTTTACCTTAAAATGGTTCCAGGTATACGACGCGTGAATGTGTAACCTTCTTGGAGGTGCCACGGCGGGTTCTAATATTTCCAACTCAAATTTAGTAACCTGGCCTTGATAAAATACCACTTCTCATTACTGTAGCAAATGCCTCAAGAGAGCTTTAGATTATAAGGCCGAACCCGGCTCTCCCTTTTCCATTTAATGAAATTTATTCTGTCAGTACGGCACTTATAAAATAAATCTCCATAACAAATTTAAAATACTTCGAGAGATTTTCTATCCTTCCAGAGATATGTATTAAGAAGTTTTTAGTATGTATGGGAGGCGACATGCCTCCTTTTTTAATAACTCACATTTTTTCCATGAGCAATTGATACATTTTGTATACACAACTCCATACCAAGTTCCAGTATTCTTCCACAAACACTTCCAGGGATATGTGGCAAGAAAAAGTAAATTTGTACTGGAAGTGCCACGCCCCTTTTTCTTATAACCCTAATCTTCTTCCATGAATTTAGAATTGATTTTACATACCCCAGTACCAAGTCCCAGTACTCTACCATGAACACCTCTAGAGATAAACAGTAAGAGTAAGTAAGATTTGTACGGCAGGAACCATGTCCCCTTTTCGAATAACGCAAATTCTTCTCTATGAGTATGGAATTAATTTTGTATACACATCTCGGTGCCAAGTTCCAGTCCTCTGCAATAAACACCTCCAGAGATATGCAGCATAGAAAAATCAATTTGCATGGGAGTTGCCACACCACCTTTTCCAATAACTCTCATTTTTCTCCATGAGTATGGTATTAGTTTCACATACATACATGCATACATATGTATTTCCATACCAAGCTTGAGTGCTTTACCCCAAACATTTGAAGAGATATGCAATATGAAACTTTCAGTCAGTATGGGAGGTGCTACGCCTCTTTTCCAAAAACGTCCATTTTTCTCCGTGAATATGAACATGATTTCACACAGTGTTGGCAAACTGTTAATCTGATTAACGATTAAAAATTAACGATTAAAATGTTAATCGCCTTTGACGATTAAAATTAATTAGTCGTAATCAACTGTACGATTAATGATAACATTTTTTTAATCGTTAATCGCTGGCTGCGATTACGTTTAATTAATTTAAAACATTAATCGTTAATCCAATTAAAAATAAAATCTGATTAATTTGTCTAGTTTGTCCGAGTTTGAAACCAAACACCAGTTATAGTAATTATTTTGTGTTTTACGCTTATAAAAAGCACGTAATATAAGAAAATTATAATTATTGTTATTAGTAATACATAAACTGGGAACTTTTACAAACCTAGTTTGTAAAACGTTTGTTGGTATATATCTTAATGAAAATGCACACCAAATTGCTTAGATTGATGAGGAAACCCGACTTAGCCATACCGGATTAACTTGCTTTGTGTGCACAGGGAAATTCCAGCATAACTTAATTAATCACCAAACCTACTTGATCAAATTAAGAGTTAATGATTAAAAATTAATTTTTTAATCGCGGTTACGATTAACTGTTTAGTCGGATTAAAATTAATCATGATTAACTGTAATCAGATTGAATTTAATCGAATTAACTAACTAATTAAAACATCAATCGATTAATGCCAACATTGATTTCACATACATATCACTATACCAAGTTCCAGTTCTCTCCCACAAATACTTCCAGCGATATGTATGTAATATGAAAATTCCAATTTGTATGGGAGGGGCCTTGAGTTATCGGACTTACTTTCAGTCTAAGACCATCCTTCCGAAATCCGTAGTAAGTGTACTAAATTTCGTTCTGATCGGAAAACCGGTTAAGGAAGTAGCCTATTTTTCAATCCAGGTCATAAACCATCTTTGAGCAAAATTTCATTTTCAAGCAGGTGGCAATTCTTAAAAAAGTAGCCTATTTTCCAGTCTAGGTCATAAGCTACCTGTGTGCAAACTTTCATGCAAATCAGTTCAGTCATTTCCACGTATTAATTTAATTAAACTTTCCTAATACGTGATAACTCTTAAAATAGTAGCCTATTTTCCAACATAGGTCATAAGCTATCTCTGTGCGAAATGTCATGCAAATCTGTTCAGTCGTTTCCGCGTATTAGTTTAATTAAAACTTTGTTAACAGGAAACAACTCTTCCAAAAAATTAGCCTATTTTCCACTGTAGGTCATAAGCTATCTGCTTGCAAAATTTCATGCAAATCCGTTCAGGCTTTTCCGCGTATTGATTTAATTAAACTTTTTAGCAGGTGGTAACTCTTA